TCGTCGTCGACGCTCACGAACTCGTTGTCGTCATTGCAGTGACAGATGCGACAGACGGGCGACTCGTCGTCCACCACAGCATACGACGGCACAGACATTGAGGCACTCGTTGTGGGAACAGCTCTTTGGCCGCACTCTTGGCTCACATAACGAGACAAAGAGGAAGGGATTCGTGAACTCTCGTCGTGAACTGCAGTGAACTTAACGCAGTGTTTGAGTGCCAGTGCTCTGCCGTCTGTCAGTCACTGACTCCTACACTCGCTGTACAGCTGAGCACTCGTACAGCCCTTCTCCTGCCCTCTCTCGGCACGACTCGCGCCAACGCATCGTCCGTTTGTGTACACGTTTTGGTGCGATTGGCGGACACCAGACGGCACTCGCGGGCCGTACGCACGGCGTGTGCGCACAGCCCGTGGCAGTGGTGTCGTCGTGTGTGTCGTCAGAGCGCTATTGAGCCGACGTCTCACTCTCTGTCGCTCTCTTCGTTAGCACTCATTGAGTGAATGCTTTGGTAACTGAGAGTCGGTTCTCAAGCAAAATGTCTGAACACAAAATGTCGAACCAGTCCTCCAATAACAAGGTGTCCACCACTGACCGCATCATCAAAAGTAAGCATTTCCTCACCACCAACACCCCCTCCCCACCGCCCTCTCACCCTCTCGTCTACCCCTCCACAGGTGTGCCATTCCCGCCCTCACACAAGCTCTCGATGGCCGAGGTGTTTGAGGCGAAGACCAATAAACCGCGGACGGAGATCCTGAAGCAGCACTTCATCCTCGAGGGCCGTATTGAAGAGAACGTCGCGCTTCGGATCATCAACGAAGGCGCCACTCTTCTGCGCTCCGAGAAGACTATGATCGACATCGAGGCCCCCGTCACGGGTATGTCTGTCCGCCCCCTCTCTCCCACCGACTCTGCGTTCAAACTCTTCTCAGATTTGCGTTCAATTTGACGTTATTTTCAAATCTCAAACAAATGTCAAAAACACTGATATTTCGACGGCTTTTCAAACCGCTATTCAGCGCCCGATCTCTCAATTGTGGACTCATTTTGCGCTCAATTTAAGTGCCGTTTGAATGCATTTTCATATCATTTCGTAGTCTTTGTACGCGTTTTAAGCGACAAAATGCAATAAAAAGCTATTAGTAAAGGAAAAGTGGATTCGTTTTCATTGACACCCATTAATGAGAGACTGTTTGTAATAAAACTTGTGTTCAAAACGCAAATGTGTTTCACTTTTGGCGTAATTTTCATTTTCCTAATTTTTAATTCACTTTTTGTCACTTATTTCGGGCGCTATTTGCAGATTAAAATCACATAATTAATGGACAAACAGACAAATCAATACCTTTTGTCATTAATTGTGTTTTATTTCGGAGTTTATAGCGTTTTATGCAAATGTTTTACGAGATTTTGTGTGCAATAAAATGTGCGTAAAATGTGCATGTTCAATTGCGTGGAATCTGTTTATTGTTTGCAATTTGCAAACAAATAAATAATTTTATATTTGTGTAAAAATATGCAAAACTCTGTATAAAAACATGATTTCCTTTCCTTAGAAAACCTAAACTTATTTCAAACATATTTTGATTTATGCGTCGAAAATGAATTAGAAATTCAGACTTTATTTTGCGAATAATTCAACATTTAATTAGCGAAAAGTGTGGAAAACTTTGAATTAATTATTTGTCTCGAAGTTTGTATTAATTTGCGATAAAAATAGTGTGAAATCGAAAACGAGATTAAAAGTGAATAAAGAGTGCATTAAAAGTGTATTTTATCCGCAAATATGTGTCAAACGAACCCATTGTTAGCCTTTTTAACGCAAAAATCAATACAAAGTCGACACAAGAGTTGAGAGGTTGTGTTGTCTCGCGAACACGTCCCACATGTGAGCGCCGGTAGTTTTTTCATCCCATTCCTCCGATAAACACATTTCGTATTGAAATCACATCTAAAAGGCATTAAAATAAATAGTTTCTCATATTTTTGTCAAATTATTTGACAAACTCTGAATAATAAACGCATTTAATGCTAATTAAACTGCATTTCAAATAGAGTTTATTTTTTCGGTTTAAATAACAGTTTTCCTTATAATTTATCATAACTTTTGTCGCTATTTATTGGCTATACTATAACCAAAGGGCAAACTATCCAACGGTTGTTCGCATTATATAACAATTTGTTTTGATATTTGATTGAACCCTGTGTTACGTAACCATTGAATTGGCTTTTTTGCCAAACGCTGAATACATTGAACGCAAAATGACTAAATCAAAAAACGGCGTTCCTCTGACTGACTAACCGACTGTCTGTGGTTTGTGTTGCAGTGTGCGGGGACATCCATGGCCAGTTCTATGATTTAATGAAATTATTCGAAGTGGGCGGACCGCCCGCGTCCACCAAATATTTATTTCTCGGCGATTACGTGGACCGGGGTTATTTCAGTATTGAGGTGAGATTCAATTGTTTACTCAATTGCCAGTTGTTTCCATTCATCACTAATGATTGTTATTGTTTGTGTTTCGCAGTGTGTATTGTATTTATGGTCATTAAAACTATGCTTTCCCACCACTTTGTTTCTACTGAGGGGTAATCACGAGTGCCGTCATCTCACCGAATATTTTACGTTCAAAACCGAATGTAAGTCCAGTTTTATGTTTTTGTTTTATTATCAAATTTACCGCATTTTTAATGCAATTAACATTTTTTGCGTATTCCGTGTCTCATGTAATTATGGCGACAATTATTTAATTGCTTTTTATTGTTTTGTATATTTCTTAACCCATAATCGAGTGAAGAAAGCGGTGAATAATTGCTTTTTTGTCCGCTTTTTATCGAGAGATTTGATGGAAAATTAAATATTTCTTTAATCGAAACAAATTTCTCGACACTCGATGTCAGTGTCCGGTAATTGAAGACAAAAATACTTTTCTCGACAATAATTCTCAATGAAAATGGTCTTCAATTTCCTATTAATATCAAACTCTTATAATTTATAACTCAGAGAGAGAGAGAGAGAGAGAGAGAGAGAGAGAATATATGAGTGAATGGAAAGTAATAGAAAATAATTTGAACACAAAATATATCAAAATTTATTGATATTCTTGACAACAAATTAAATTAGCGAATAAACAAGAGTTTAAGTCTTAAAGCAATAAATATTCACTCAATCCTAACAACAATGGATTGCTTTGGGAATAACCCGTTGTATAGAAAATACAATTAAAGGAAATGATATTAAAAACAGTTATAAATCTATAAATGAGATAAATATTGTGATAAACTCTGTTTTATTTAGAAGATTAGTTTGAATTAAAATATTTTCAAACTTTTATTGCATTTTGTAATAACATTTCATAATTTCATTATTAATACTCTTTTTTAATTAACTGCAAATGGATTTGTAGTGCAAAAGAGGTTTACATTGAATTCATTATTCACTGCAATATTGAAACACATATTGAATGCAAAGAACTCACGGCTATTATGTAATGCTATTGTAGAGCCTTTCAGTGCAACATAATTAAAACATAATACATATCAAAGTCAATAAAAAGGGACCGAATTTACGAATTAGATGATAATTTCCATAATTATATTGAAAATAAATTTTGTATAAATCCAAAACCAAAAGTACAGTCGTTTAAAAATATATGTGCGATAAGTGTAATATAAAATTTTATGATTCCATTTAATAGCATATCTCTGAGTGAACAGGATAAGAAATATTCTGACAAAATGTATATTGCTACAGTAAGCATGAGTTTTCAAATAAAATCAATGTTTCAATGTTTTGCTTTTATTTTAAAATGAGTTTTACTTAATATTTGAAATCATGAGAAAATATTTGAATATTGTTTTATTGTTTTATAATTTAAATTTCACATGATAGAACTTTGGTCAGATTTGTATCCTTATAAATAGTTAAGATATATATTTAGTTTAGTTTATAATAAAAAATTTTGCACTCAAATATTCTAATATTTGATTTGAAGTTAGATTTATTTTTAAACCTTATTTCTATAATTTTCGAGTTTTATTTTAGAGATTTATATGATTGTTTAAAATAACCTAAAGTCTTGTTGTATTTTTGTATGCAATACAATAAAATGCTTTTTTACAACTCTTGGCAAACAATACTTGACATCAGTTTATCACTCATTCAGTCATTTAATGCGAGAGAGAGAGAGAGAGAGAGAGAGACTAAGAGAGAGTTTTATTGCTGGAAACAATTTTGTCCATTATCTGCATTTTCTATATCTGTTATCTAAACCCCAATTGTGTGCCCTTTTATGACTGTTTTGAATATTGATCTCAAACTAAAGTCCAAACCTGAGGCGAACCCACGCGTCAAAGCCCTCACGTGTGTAATCCGAAGCCCTCTTCCGCTCCCCCGCACCTCCTCTTTGGCTTTCAATTATTTCAAACAATTTCCTGATAACTAATAATTCACAGAGTAAAGTCCGTTTTAATTTATGAGTCTCGCTCACATGCTGCGGACATACCTCCGCAAACTGACAGAGGGTGAGCGCCGGGAATACTTGCCGGTCAAAAATACGCAAGTGCCTCCAATCATACACAGCCGCCGGACAGCCGTTTATTGCGGCCAATGATTAGATTCATTTATTTGACTTTCGTGTGAATAGCAGTGAAAACGCGATATTATTCAGTGTTTTAATGCCTTTTCAAGTCTCCAGAGATTTCTTAAAAGCTTTTCACATTTGAATCCTATTTGCGTTTCCGTTAGAATTCATTGAGTCCTTAACGCCAGTGAATAACTGTTAACTAACTGCCTTTCCCTGCCCTCCCTCGCAGGTCTGTCGCCGGAAGTCCATACGCTGGACGACATCAAAAAGCTGGACCGATTCAAAGAGCCGCCGGCCTTCGGGCCGATGTGCGACCTCTTGTGGTCGGATCCGTTGGAGGACTTCGGGAACGAGAAGTCGAATGTCGAGCACTTCACGCATAACTCTGTTCAAAAAAGCTGGACCGATTCAAAGAGCCGCCGGCCTTCGGGCCGATGTGCGACCTCTTGTGGTCGGATCCGTTGGAGGACTTCGGGAACGAGAAGTCGAATGTCGTCGTGAAGTGCGTATTGAGACAAGCGCCGACAAGAATGAAGATGAGAATGCCGCGCACGACACTCAAGAATGTCGTTTTATTGAATAATAGGTATTAGGCGCGCGTGCTCCGTGTCCTGCGGCCCATAGCATTCCCTCGCTGTCCACTGACCTCTAATGACGCTCTGCCCACAGCTACCGGATGTACCGGAAGTCGGTGGTGACGGGCTTCCCGTCTCTCATAACGATCTTCTCGGCGCCCAATTACCTGGACGTCTACAACAACAAGGCAGCCGTTCTCAAGTACGAGAACAACGTCATGAATATCCGACAATTCAATTGCTCGCCGCACCCCTACTGGCTGCCCAACTTCATGGACGTGTTCACGTGGTCTCTGCCTTTCGTGGGGGAAAAGGTGACCGAAATGTTAGTCAATTTGCTGAACATCTGTTCGGACGACGAACTCATCACCGAAGGAGAGGAGAGTTTTGAGAGTGAGTTGGAGGGTACGTATTGTTGGCAACCACTGACCACACCTTCGTTGCGCACACTCTCACTACTTGAACGGCGCGAACCGGCAGTAAGTGCGGGAAAGCCGTTCAAAG